TGTGTGACCAAGAGGAAGTGGGACAGGACAGGTCTGAATTGAGTCCTGAAAGATGGATGAATATTTGCCATATGGATAAGGAGGGATTGGGAGATAGAATTTTTAATCTCTTAAGGTTTATGAGAAGATTCTGGAAAAAATCTTTGCTTAATAACCGGTCATGTTCTGTGGATAGAGAAAATTACACCCTGATTAAAATGCTTACTGTACTTTTAAAGTTAGAGAAATATTCTTTCTAGGAGTGGGAGGGCAGAGGCAATTATTTAGTGTAAAAGCCTCTGCTTTTGGTTTTCATACCTGCCAGCTCTTCCTCCTACTGTCCACAGAGTTTAATAAAACTAAGTGCATTAAACTCCTTTTCAAAAATTCACATTTAGTCCCTCTAATTAGTCAACTTGATATGCCTAAAGTCTTGTGTGCCAAACGTTCTACTGGTGTGTTTTGTTTAGATAGGGAAGTTTTAAAGGAGAGGCAAATGGTCTTTGAGGAAACCACTTTATAGTTGGGTTCAGAAACTGAATTCCCTTCTTTTTAAATGTGTTTTAAATTTATATATATATATATATATACACACACACACACACACACACACACACACACACACATACACATATACACAATTTATATATATATAGAAATTGAAAGTATTACTTGAAATAGGCTGTGTATTAGGGGAGGGGGGCTGGGAAGCGGATAGGTTCTTGTGTTACGGTGTGGAATTGCTCAGCTCTGCTTGGGTCGTGTGTTCTCTTATGGCTGTTGTGTTTACTGTTGCAAGGCAATGGCATAGTAGTGATTTGTGTTGCAAGTATCTCAGTTTAACTTCTGCTACAAACAAAGCTTTTAGTCCTAAGAATTTCAGGAAAAAATGTGAAATTTGAATACACCATAATATGCATATTTTATAAGGTTTTTGAGGTATTCACTTTGTGTGTTGGTATTGATTGTTATTTGTGTCTATTGTACAGGGAAATTTTTAACCTCAGAACACAAATGTCAGATTCTGAACCTAGACTCTGAACTAAAAGACATAAGAAGTTTGTTCACAGAACACTTTAAATGTTACTGTAGTTTTTTTTAATAAAACACAGAGGCTCAATAACAGCTCACTAGATTTTTGTCATCTAGAAAAACTATAATGTTGTATATGAAGGCTTTCAGTTAGTTTAAAGGAAAATGATGAAAAGTAAATATAACTTTATATTCAATAATAAAATAAATATGCGTTTTAGTTTGAAGACATGGTAAAAACTTTTAAAGCAATAGTCAAGCTTAATTTTTTTTTTTTTTGAGATGGAGTTTCACTCTTGTTGCCCAAGGTGGAGTGCAGTGGCGTGATCTCAGCTCATTGCAACCCCTGCCTCCCGGGTTCAAGCGATTCTCCTGCCTAGTACCTGATTCTCCTCCTGAGTAGCTGGGATTACAAGCATGAACCACCATGCCAGGCTAATTTTGTATTTTTAGTAGAGATGTGGTTTCTCCATGTTCATCAGGCTGGTCTCGAACTCCCAACCTCAGGCGATCTGCCAGCCTTGGCCTCCCAAAGTGCTGGGATTATAAGCATGAACTAATGCACCCAACCTCAAGCCTAATTTTTAGAAAGAGTTCATTAACCCAGTTACATTTATTTTTATTGAAATAGTACCATTAATATTCTGTTCTAAATGTTACCTTTTTGCGAAGTATGCATTCATTGTTTTAACCTGTGCAGTTCCCTAAGAAAACTATTTTCACTAAGTCAATACTTTGAAAAATGTTTAAACTATTATTTCTGGGCTTTATTCCCATTCTTTTAATTCTTGATATAAAGAGAAATTCCTTTCAAATTACTGAGCATACATGGACATTTTATCTACCTATTCTTTCGTTAAAAAAGCCAGAGAGCTGCCACATATCCACTGTTGCTATCAGGTGTGCATGTCAAAATATTGCCTGTCAGGTTGTTAATTGAAATAGCGCTGAATGGAGCCAGCATTTTAAATAAAAGTGAGAGTAGGCAAAAAACTAAACTTTCTATTTACTAACCCAGAAAGACTAACACACATAACACTCTGACTAATGCAGATGAAATCCAGGAGCTAGGGCTCTTTCCTGTAATCCCAGCACTTTGGGAGGCCAAGATGGGAGGACCACCTGAAGCCTGGAGTTCAAGATCAGCCTGGGCAATACAGCAAGACTTCTGTCACTTCAAAAAGTTTTAAAAAATTAGTCAGGCATGGTGGTGCAGGCCTGTAGTCCCAGTTACCCTGGAGGCTATGAGGGCGGATTGCTTGAGTTCAGGAGTTCGAGGCTGCAGTGAGCCGTGATTGCACCACTGCACCCCAGCATGAGTGACAGAGTGAGATCTTGTCTCTGAAAAAAGAAAATACGTTTATTAGTGTCTTCTGTTTGCCAGGCTTTGTGCTAGATACAGTAATATAGCAGCGAATGAAACACTATGTCTGCCTTCCAAGTATTTAACGATCTAGTTGTGTATGATGGCAAGTAAGTGAGCAGATAATGATCCAGTATGATAAATGCTGCTAAAGAGGGAAGTCATGTTAGAAAATCAGGAAAAGTTTCCCAGTGGAAGAGGCAAGCAAGTTAACATCTCCCCTTGTTAGTGTTTCCTTCTTAAACATTCCATCAGAATCCATCAGAATACACTGAAGGAATAAAACTGATAAAAGATTTTTCCCATTTTGAAAAAAATCTTTAATTTGCTTCATAGTTCAGGAAAAAACAATGTTGTTTTGATTCAAAAGGTAACAGATTAAATGTGTTTGACCTGGTTTTTTTGTTTGTGGACTATTTCAGCTGAAGTTCTTATTATACTTTAAGATATGTGTTAAAACTTATATTTCTCCCCAAATCATACCCATTTAAAAATTCAAAAATTTAAAAATGTTAAAAAGTTTAAAATTTCAAAAATTAAACATAGGACTTTTTGTCCTATATTTTTACCATCCATTTTATATGTAAGTATATATAGATAATATACTCTTGTAGCTTAATGCAAAATAGATGTCCTTAAAGCAATTTGGTATTTATTTACAAATATGTCTGTACAGATTTTCTCCTGATTTGAAATTGCAATTTTATCATATATTTAGAGAGAAAAATGCCAAATCATGATAGGTTGCACTGGATTTCATATAAAGCTGTTCAGAGCAGTGCAAGAGTCTTAGCGGACTCAATGTTTTTCCTACTTCGTGTTCTTCCATGTAAACCTGATCGGAGAAAATTTGTCATCACTTTTTCCTTTACAGAAACGATAGCAAGTCAGCATCCATTTGTAGCTACTGGTTCATCTCAAATCTTTAGCCTCTTCTACTTTTTTTTTAATGGTCTTTGTCATGTTTCATCCTAAATTTATATCTCTAGCCGCATCTCCCCTTGTCAACTTCAATTGTTCATTCTTAGTCTTTGCTTGGATTTCAAATTTAACCTAACCAAAACAGATCTGTGGGACTTCCTCTCAACTCCCTATAACCAATCTGGTTCCTGTGAAATTCTTCCTCATCTTAATAAATGGTAGCTATGATAGTCCATTTGTTTAGGCCAAAAACTCGAGTATTATCCTTAATTCCATTCATTCCCCATAAGCAGTCCTGCAGTAAGTCCTGTTGGCTGTGTACCCACTTCTCCCACCACTGACATCCAAGTCACCGGCATCTGTCACCTGGGCTCTAGCAGTGACCTCCTAACCATTTTCTCTACTTCCATTCACCTTCTTATAGCCCATTCTCTATACAACAGCCAGAACAAGCCTTTTAAGCAGAAGTCAGATTTCTTTATGCCTCGGCCCAAAACCCAGTGGCTTTCTATCTCCTTCTGGACAAAATCCAGCATGGCAGTGAGGCCCCGAATGATCTGGCTCTGTCTTTGATCTGGTATTTGCCCTTTGCTTACCGACTGCTTTGGTCAGAGTAGCCTCTTTGCTGTTCCTCTGTCACCAAGGGCATTCCTAGCTTAGGGCCTTTGCACTTGCTCCTTCTCCTGATACGAACCTTCATCACCTATGTATTTACACACGTCCATTTCAGCAGTCCCTCAGGTCACTGCTTAAATGTCAGTTTATCCTAAAGGGCTTTCTTGACAACCGTCTCTCTGCAAGGACCTTGTTTCTCTGTTTGGTATTTATCTACATGTGACAGTTTTCTATCATTGGGTTTGTTTTTTCTTTTAAATCCATCTCTTCAGCTAGAACTTGAGCTCCAGGAAGGCAGGAACTTTGGTTCTTTCTTCACTGCTCTTTCCCTAGCACCTGTCTGAAGCAGTGATGTATAGCCAGGATTTAGATTTCCTGATTGTGGTCCAGTGCTCTTTCCATGGTTCTGTGTGGCTTCATACGTCAATTTTATTTCACAAAAGAGGTTTTTAAGTTTCTTGAGCACAGTGGCTGCATTTTTTATTGCTCTTGCTCCATCTCCACATTAAGACATAGGACTGTGCCATACACCCAGCGATGGACTCCTAGAGAATGCCGTGGCTCGGCTAAATGGCTTCCAGTGCCCCCTGTGGCCTTCATCAACGTGGATCACAGGCTCACTCAGGGTATACTTCTCATTTCGTAGGAGTAAGAGACAAGTGGTTCTTACTCAACAGATACACAGTGGCATTTGGAACCTGCATGCTGTTTGACTGAAAAATCATGTATGGTAGAGATCTAGTTTTCAATAAATAGCTTGCTTGTATTCTGAATTTTGAACATTTCATGTAATTGTAACTTGAGGTGTAGTGGATAATGAGACCGAAATTAATAGTTCCTGTGGTGGTTTAAGTCTCTTTTTTTCTTCCCAGGAGGTTGTTATTTCTACACGTAGCCACCTGATGTTCTTAGTGGGAGTATATCCCAGATAAATTCTATTGTAAATCAAAGAGTATTCATGTTTGGCTTGAATCTTTCCTAAGCAACTACGAAGACGCTCCTACATTTGATTTTGAAAATTTTTATTCTCTTGGCTGTGAAATTTAAGTGACTCTAGTAATATTGATGGTTTTCCTCCTTGTTTTTACAGGTGATCTGCAACTCTTTCACCATCTGTAATGCAGAGATGCAGGAAGTTGGTGTTGGCCTATATCCTAGGTATAGTGTATGGTGCTTCATTTACTGGAAGACACAGCTTTCCTTCCCACCTAAATCCCCAGCCCTTTGTGGGTAGTTAGAAAGGCAGTTGCAGCAGCTGGTTCAAGAGCCAAGCTTAAAACTTAGCAGTAAATTACAAAAAAAAATGGAAAATGTTAAGTTTAAAGAAAATAATTTTATAACCCCACAATATATGCTGTGGTATTAACAAAGAGGTAGATCTCAGATCTAAATTCTTGTTCTCAAGGGGACTGTGGGTGAAGAAGTTGAGGGCTGTGGGTGCTAATTAACCATCAGGCTGATCTTTGGTTATCACCTCACCCCTCCACTGATCTCATTTCCCAATTTCCTGAGCTGAAGCACGTGATTATTTCACCAGATTCACCATACACATCAGTTGGGTTCATTTTGTATTTTGAGTTGGTATACAGTGAACTCTGTCACTCGTGGAGGCAAGAAAACTCCCAGGCTCTGGCCCCTGAATGCTTTTTGCTGAGCTGACCCTCATCGCTGAGCTATGAAACTCTTTCCACAAGCACTACAGTCACTCCCAGTTCCGTTTGGTTTTTATGCCATAAGAGTGTAAATACAAATGTAGACTTTCTAATAATTGTGAATCTAAGAATCCAGCCTTTTTTCTTATTTCTCACCATTGTGATTAACCATAGGTCAGGTCTATTGGTAGTGGTTCTCAAAAAGCAGTAATATTGAATGATTCAAAGCGTGGGCTCTGAGTTCAGGCCACATGGTCCAAATTCTGTCACCACTTACTGGTTGTATGTTCTTGAGCAAGTCATTTAATTTCTGTGTATTAGTCTCTTGCCCGGTAAATGATCCTCATAAGACTGTTGTGAGGATTAAATGTAAGAAAGTTTCCACATAATAAGTGCTCATTCTAATTAGTATCAATTGATGAGAGCAGCTTAAATCCATTTTGTTTCCCAGATGGTAAAAAATGTACCTCCCAGGTAATAAAATGACTGGACGATGGCCCAGGGTGCATCACAATGTAGCTGGCAAAATAACATCAGCTGTCTATTTAAGAGGAAATATTTCTAATTAATCTTCACTGTGGATGTTCTAGCAAAGACAGCCATTTCTCCAAAGGAGCTCAACGAATGAGATCCTATGGGAAAGGCCGATGGTATCTTGACTGCTGCATCCCATTATCTCTGAGAGTATTTTTTTTTCTTTTTTTTTTTCTTTTTTTTGTGGGATGGAATCTTGCTCTGTCACTCAGATTGGAGTGGTGTGATCTTGGCTCACTGCAACCTCTGCTTTGCTGGTTCAGTCAATTCTGCTGCCTCAGCCTCCCAAGTAGTTGCAACTACAGGCATGTGCCACCACGTTCGGCTAATTTTTTTGTATTTTTAATAGAGACAGGGTTTCACCATGTTGATCAGGCTGGTCTCGAACTGCTGACCTCAAATGATCCACTCACCTCAGCCTCCCAAAGTGCTGGGATTACAGGTGTGAGCCACTGCATCCAGCCCTCTCAGAGTATTTCTTTGTGAGTCAGTTTTTTTCCCCACCTTCATTTTGGGTTGCCTTCTTGGCTACTATCTAATCAGCCAGCTATGCCCTAATCCCCAAAAAGGACTTCGAATTTTTTTTTTATTATTAAATGATAGAATTCCCTAATTACCCTGCATCTTGGGGAGAATTGAACTTCACAGGAAATGCGCTAGTGACAGTTCTGTGAATGCACCCCAAATACTCCATTCCTGGTGTCCTGTCGACCCTACCTCTGCTGCCCACCCAAAGTAAGGTGTGTTTTACCCACTGCATTTGTTAAATTTAGTTATTTGACCCTACCTGCTGAGCTGTGACAGTCTTCCCCTTTTTTTTTCCAGTATCTCCTTGCTCAATCACAGCTGTGACCCCAACTGTTCAGTTGTGTTTAATGGGCCCCACCTCTTACTGCGAGCCGTCCGAGACATCGAGGTGGGAGAGGAGGTAAGGAAACCCATGCTTCCCACTACCTGGCTTCTTTCCTATCAAAGTCCCTCTCAGCTTGGCCCAGCCCTAAAACTGATTCTGCCAGAGGGGGCAACTTTGCATTGTCCTTCTGCCAGTGAGAATATTCATAGTATAGTCACCTCTCCCCAGCAATCTATCATTTCTTCTCCCAAATTACAAATGGGCTAAATTTTTAGGGGAGAGGTCACCATATTTCTGGATGATGACAGCTCCTTTCCTATGTGTGTGAGAGAGAGGTGTTTATGTGTGAGACAGAGGGTGTGTGTTCTTTATGCACATGCAGGGACATCATTAAATCTCCTTGGTAGCGACAGCTCAGCAGCCTCTCATATCCTGCCATGGGCAGGGAGGGCATCCCAGCTTGTGAATGGGATCCCCAAGACTTATTTACTCGAAAGGCCACTGATTGCATTTTGAAGGTAGTTATGCATATTTACTTTGTGTTAATAAAGCAAACAACTTAATACTCTTTCAGGCTGACTTTGGGACTTTACAAACCCATCTGCATGTCTGAGTGATCATTTAAGCAAAGAGGCAAAGGGAATAGAGGGCAGGGAGGCTGGCCTCCAGCAGTGAACTGGTCTTGACCTCTCCACTGTTACAGGCTGCCCAGCCAGCCTCTTTTGGTGAAGAACCTTCTCACAAGGCAGCTGCAAATGGGCTGCTCTGGGGCTCTGAACCTAAGCCTGTGCTGGTTTGCACAGTGATTACCCATGCTGAGTTCCGAGTTACAGATAATTTACTCTTTCTAGAACCCAGTTTCCTTCTCCTTTCCAATTTGCTAAAGTGGATATTTATTGCAAAGAAAAACAATATCAAAAGCTTTTATTGCATTTATGTAGCACTCAGCCAGTAAAACCTAAACTCAGAGGTACCATATTTTATGTAGACAGGGATTGGTTTTGACAAGATTCTCCCCAAAGTGATTTTCCGTGGAATGAACCACTTCTTACATAACTACTTGCTAAATTTCCAGATTTTAGGACCAGTGTGTGAAATATACTGGGATATATGTCATTGAGATGGCGAATTTAGATTGTTTTTTTCCCCTGGGGCCATAAACGACTTCAAGACAGGCAAGAAATGGAACCACTTTCTATTTTCAGCAAGAGTGGCTGCTGCTGTTGTCAATGATGATGATGTTTTTGCAAATTAAGGAATCAAGCAACTTGACAAAAACAATTTGAATTGGTTGGAATTTTCAAAAACAAAGATTCTTAAATTTTCGTGGAGTTGGCTGCCAGGTTTCTCCATGGTTGGTTTTCTCTTAGTTGAGTGAAACACCTTGTCTTTCGGTGCTGCTTTGACTTTTCACATCTTTCTCCTTCCATCTCTGGAGCAACAAGCAAATCCTTCCTCTTGCCAAATACAAAACATTTCCACTCAGTGTAAAGCCCTTCAGACTCGGGTATTTTCCCCTCTGGCACCTAGCAAGGCATCTTCTCAACAAAAAGAAGATTGTCCCCACAGGCCCTTCGTATATACCAGCTTATTCAGAGAGTAAACATTTCTCCATTCCATTTTGTAGGTCTAGCTGAACAGCGCTTCCCCTGCTTCATCGTCCCTCTCTCCGTCCACTGTGTCTGTCTGTTGTAATGTTATATGCCCTTCAAGGCCCTTTGTCAATGTGTCTCCCAGATTTCATCTGTTGGAAACTTTATCCCCAAATTCTTGTTGATGATTTGTGGAGGTGGCGTCTTTGGGGAGTAATTTAGATTAGGTAAGGTTATCAGGGTGGGAACCCCATGATGGGATTGGTGGCTTTATAGGAAGGGGATGCTCCTGCCATCTCATCATGTGGTGCTCTCCGCCGTGTTATGAGGCAGCAGGAAGGCCCTCCCCAGATGCCGGTGCCATGCTCTGTATGTCGGCAAGTTTGGGAGAATGAGGGTCAGGGCAATGTAGTAGTTCAGGGAAGAGATAACAATGGCAGCCTGAAGTGGGGGGAGGTCAGGTGGTGGCTTGTGATAGGGTATCTGAGAAATGTAATATTTAGAAAGTAAAATTAGCAGGATTTGTGAAGCAAGAAGAGGCTAAATGATACTCAGGTTTTACTTTAAAAGGAAGTGGTATTTTTTAGGCTTTTTTCCAGTTTAGAGCCAGTATTAACAGAAAAACTTGTAATTGATCATGTGATTCTAGAAATGAAACAAGGTCTAATTTTAATTTGATCATCTTCCCCACTGAGTTGCAGACCATGAAAAGATGGCTTCATGGAAAAGGAGTTCATTTTGTCTTGAGATTCTAATGTAAGCAATGTATTCGAGACCTAGAAAATCACTGCTCTAGTGTCAGAAATGATTGACTGCATTTTCCATAAGAGCTGCACTAAAATGGCAAAACAGTGGTCAGTGGCTTTAATACTTTAATGCAGTTTTGTTCTGTGCCATTAAGGTATCAACTGATCAATGGCCAAGTTTAAGATACATGTTCCCACTAAATGAGCCCTGCATTTAGCGAGCAGATTACAACTGGTGAGTCTTTAATAAAGGTTTTTATCTTTGGCTAATAACATGATTTTAGCTGTCATTACCAGTTAGTAATCTGGCTGTTTTTTCTCAAAAATATGAATAAAACATTTTTGCCATTGAGCCCTTCAGAGTTGATATTTTGCAGACTTCATTGGCACAAAAGAAGCACAAAAATGGGTCACTTTCTCTGAGGTAATGGGGCAGTCCCCATAGGAAGAGGTGTATTTGAGCCCAGCTTGAAGCATGAGAGACTCTCAGTAAGCTGAGTTTGGAGGAGAGGCTAGGCATAGACAGTGACGCCAGACACATGTTGGCATGGTGTCCATTGTTTCAGAGGTATAGCAATGTACATAACTGTCTCGGGGAGAGACGTGGAGACTCTCTTCTGTCTACAAAGGCAGACAGAAAAAGCAGTTGAGGGAAAGCCTCGTGCGCCTTATTCATAGGCAGTGAGAAACCATTGAAAGTTTTCGTGTAGAGAAATGACGTGATCAGATGGGAGTTTTCAGAAGATCTCTCTCCAGGCAATTTAGAAGATGAAGGGTACACTGAAGGCAGCAGGGAAGCCAGTTAGAAAACCATTGCGTAGTCGAGGTCATGGTTCCAGGCGATTATAGTATGCCCAGGGAGGCTTTTAGGGTCTGTTTATTGGGGTTAAATGAAGTAACTAGTCTCCTATTGCCCATTCACTGCCTGACAAGATCACTAGTGAGTTTTGGCTCCAGTATTAAAGTCTTGAGTTAGTCAAGCACATTTTTTTCTGGAGTGACAGGCCCTGCTGTTAGTGACTTCACACTGGGCACACTGTAATCATCCAATAACTACTGTCCATTTGCGTCCTCTGATAATGGGAGTTGATGACTCAGAGGCGCTGGGCTGGATCAGAATTAGTGTCCTAGAGTTAACCCAAGAGGGAACATAGGAATGGGCTCATTTACTGCCTCGCCTCCCGTGGACCCACAGAACCAGATAGTATAAGGTGAATGTATCTCAGACCTACTCACAGGCTGTTTCAAAAAGTGTGCTTGGAAGTAGGATATTTGGAATTTGGAACATAGCATTCATTAGAAACGAGAACTTGCCTGGTAAGGTAGAGGCGCAATCCAGGCTTCAGATCATGGAGCAAGAGAAACACCGAAGAAACTAAAAAGTGGCTGTTGTCTCAGCTGAAGGTTCTCAGTTGCCCCAGAACATTGCCTAACACAGGTGTGAGTATTTCAGGTTTGAAGGTGCTACAGAAACTCCGTAAGAGACTCCAACTTCTACAGCCCTCTCTCCCCGCCAGATGTGAGAAGCGGCCATGTTAATGTAAAAAGAGAATCAGACTTAAATCGAGATCTGAGCGCAAGCTTCAGTGTTGCCTGAATCCCAGACCTTCGCTAGTTTTGACTGTTCTATGCTGCCTCTCCACGAGCAGTAGATGCTCAGTAACATCACTGTCTGTATCTCTTAAGGGCAGATACTCTTGATTCTGAGTATAGAGTGCCAGCCAGCCAGATCAGGCCTGGCTCCTGTCACCTTGGTGATGGTGATGGCCTTGGTGGATTTGACAGATCTGGCTGGCCAGTCCAGCCGTCCACCATCACGCCTGTAGCCTGAGCGAGGCCTTCCCAAAGCTTCAGTTTCTGTCAAAGAGGATGGCTGCCTTTGTCCTACCATGACTTCAAACAAGTAAGGTCATACTTTGTAGACGTGAGATGCTTTCTTTTAAGCATAAGAAAAACCACATGGAGCTTTTTGCTCTAGGGAGCTTGTGTCATCTCCTTCAGTGGATAATCCTGCTTTCTTGCTCTTCTAAAATCTTCGCTTCTTCCCCCACCACACATACCCCCATAATTACTTTCTACTTTTGAAAGCAAAGAAGTAATTTATACAGTATAGTATAAGCTGACGTGGGATACAGGAAGAGAAAAACTAGAGAAGGGAAGGGAATTGGGTTGTTAGTTTTAATAGGGTAGTAAGGTTAGACCTTAGTGAGAAAGTGGGATTTGACTGAAACTCAAAGGAGATGAGGGAGGTTGTTGTAGTAGACTGGGCGGAAGGGCAGAGGGAACAGCCGGTGCACAGTCCTTGAGTGGGAGTGTGTATGGAGCCAGACAGGAGGCCAGCCTGGTGGAGCAGCAGATAGGAGGGAGAGGGGCGTGAGAGGGAGCACGTGGGAGGATGTGACGCCATTGCTTCTCTAACTACAATGAAGGACCTGTTTTTCTTTTCCTTCTTTATCTATTGCAGACTATTTTTATAAAATCTAGTGAAACCAGGGAGGGGAGCACTACACACTGGGGTCTGTTGGGGAGAAATAGGGGACGGTCAGTGGGAGGTGGGGAGTTGGAGAGAGATAGCATGGGGAGAAATGCCAGCTATAGGTGATGGGGAGGAAGGCAGCAAATCACACTGCCACGTGTGTACCTATGCAACAATCTTGCATGTTCTTCACATGTACCCCAAAACCTAAAATGCAATAATAAATTTAAAAAATAAATCTAGTGAAACTAAATTATTAGAAAAATGACATTTAGAGAACATAAAATAAAAGGGCTGGGTACAGTGGTGCACACCTGAAATCCCATGGGAGGTCGAGGAGGGAGGATTACTGGAATTCAAGACCAGCCTGGGGAACATGGTAAAACTCCATCTTTACAAGAAATACAGAAAATTAGGTGTGATGGCACATGCCTTACCTTAGTCCCAGCTGCCTGGGAAGCTGAGGTGGGAGGATCATCTGAGCCTGGGAGATTGAGGCTGCAGTGAGTTGTGATCATGCCACTGCACGCCAGCCTTGGTGGCAGAGTGAGAGGCCCAGTCTTAAAAAAAAGTCCAATGTTTTATTATTAGTCACCTGAAACAACCCTTATCAAATTAGTAGAAAACATTTCTAAATCCTGACTTTGTGTTTCTTTACTCATTTCATCATGGACTGGTGGCCCACAGCGTGCACTAGCACCAGTCCAGGGCCCACACTTTGGGTTGCACTTGTGGAGTTGTAAGGACCTGGCCTGTACTCAGGCAAAGTGGGGAGCTGTTTCAAACAGAACGTGTCATCTGACTTGTATTTTAAGTGAATCACTCTGGCTAGAAGGTGGAGTGCAGGGGGCCTAGGGAAAGAATCAGGGAGACCAGCTGTGAGACTATTGCATTTTACAGGTAAGAGGTGATGATGGCTCAGCCCCGGATGGTAGCATTGGAAATGGTAAAACGTGGTTGGTAATTTTTAAGGTAGAGCCCACAGAACTTCCTGGTGGATTCAATGGCAGGTGTAAAGGAAAGCGTGAAGTCAAGGAATGCTGAGGCTTCAATTTGGATAAGACAAAAGATGAGTTTCTTTCAACTAAGAGTGAGAGAGCTCCAACCGAGATGGAACAAGTTGAGGGGAAGCTCAAGAATTCAGTTTTCTGAATTTTGAGTTACACTTTCATAAGAGATCTAATCAAGTGCAAAATGCCTAATCATTATGATGTTGCCTAAAGACCTGTGACTTAAAGGGGACTCGGCATAGAGAGTAGTCCGAGGAGTCCTTTATATACATCCTCTCATTTACAGCCCTCCACTGTCCAAGGCAGGGGATATTACTCTGAAAGGGTATAAGGCAATCAGTTCAAATGCTTCCATAAGTGATGGCACTCTCACATTAAACTCTCCCCTATTTGGAAATGATTCTAGATTTTTTTAAACCTAGTGACAAGTAAGAGAACTGTTGTCTCATTTCAAAGATACCAAATTTGGATGACCTTAAATTCCATGAGGCAGCTATAGAATTGGTTAGAACTTAACAGCAATCTGGCTGCATCATCTGCCACCCATTTGGTTGCCAGGATTAATTTGGCTTCTCTGATTGCTAATGGTTATAGAATTTATTAGCAAACCTTAGTAATACCAAACGCACAACAGCTTTTGATATTTTACTATAGCGAAAAAAGTAAGATACAAAAGTGGGTACAGAGATCATAAGCCCCATTCTTTAAATATATGATATATATGTGCTCACCACAGAACAAAGAGTGAAAGGAAATAGATTAAAATTTTACATGGGATTATTTGGGTAGAGAAACTGTAAGTGGTAGTTTCTCTCTTATATTTTTGGCTTATAATAAAAACAAGTTTCACTCCAATAATTAGCAATAATAAAAACCATTTGTTAAAGAAATGAGCACAACAGATTTGTGAACGCCTCCCTCTCTCCGGCCCACACAGCTCACCATCTGCTACCTGGATATGCTGATGACCAGTGAGGAGCGCCGGAAGCAGCTGAGGGACCAGTACTGCTTCGAATGTGACTGTTTTCGCTGCCAAACCCAGGACAAGGTATGTGGTATGGAAGCAGACTGAAACACCTCCGCGGCAGTATCTCAATGATCTTCAGAGAACTCTGCCTTTATCCCATAAACCCCAAAGTAAATGACTGTCAGTACATGGTAGGAAACGGATAAATAACTCATTGAATTGAATATATTTTGTTTTCTGGAACTTTTGTCACCCACAAAGTTGGTGACAAGCTGAGATTTAACCAAAAGTGAGGACCTATGGGGTTTAGAGTCAAGTGGGAATGTAGGCATTAAACATTTAATTAAAAGGATTGGTGAAGGCCAGGGTGCTAGTAAAACGTGTAGTAAATGGGTTGAATTACATTATGATTGACAACAGTTACTGCTAGGTAAAAAACATGCCAAGTTTTACCTAGTTTATTTCTTTAAAAATAATTTTCAAAGTAAAATCAGGTTTGTTGAGGTACAATTGATACAAAAATTCACCCTATTTAGTGAGCCAGTTCTATGATTTCAACAAATTCAGTCATGAAACGGCCATCAATAGCAAGATACGGAACAGTTTCACTTCCCAAAAAGGCGCCCTCATGTCCCTTCAGTCACCCTACCAACCCCCCCCAACCCCCGATAATCCCTCATCTGTTTTTTATCCGTATAGTTTTTTCTTTCTGTTTTTAGTTGACACATAATAATTGCAAGTTTATGGGATACAGAGTGATATTTCGTTATGTGTATACTATGTGTAGTATCAAATCAGAGTAATTAGCATGTCTATTACTTCATACATTTATCATTTCTTTGTGTTGTGAACATTCAAAATCCTGTTTTAGTGTTTGGAGAATATACGATAAATTAAAGTGAACCATACTCACCCTACAGTGCTGCAGAGCACCAGATTCATTCCTCCTATCTAAGTTTGTGTTTGTTAACCAACCTCTCCCCACCCACCCAGCCTCTAGTACCCACAGTTCTGCTCTCTACTTCCATGCGATCAGTTTTTTTTTGTTCCTACATATGAGTAAGAACAAGTAGTATTTATCTTTCTGTGCCTGACTGATTTTGCTTAACATAATGTCCTCTAGGCCCAGCCATGTTGCCATGAATAACAGAATATCATTTTTTATGGCTAAATAATATTCCATTGTGTGAATATACCACATTTTTTAAATCTAGTAGGTTAATTTCATCTTAGTTTTTGTGAATAGTGCTGTTATAATAAACATGGGGCTGTAGGTATCCCTTTGATATACTGATTTTCTATCCTTTGGATAAATACCCAGTACTACAATTGCTAGATTGTATGGTAGTTCTATTTTTAGAACCTCTCATGCTGTTTTCCATAATGGTGGTACAATTAGTTGGATGCAAAGGTAATTGGGGTTTTCGCCATTAAAAGTAGCCTCATTGTAGAGGCCTTTCACCTCCTTGGCTAAATTTATTCCTAGGTGTCTTTTTTTGGGGGGCAGTGGGCAGCTAATACTTTGTTTGTTTTGTTTTGCTCTGTTGCCCAGGCTGGAGTGCAGTGGCAGGATCTCAGCTCACTGCAACCTCCGCCTCCCGGGTTTAAGTGATTCTCCTACCTCAGCCTCCCGAGTAGCTGGGATGACAGGCACCCACCACCACACCCAGCTAATTTTTATAATTTTAGTAGAGACAGGTTTCACCATCTTGGCCAGGCTGGTCTTGAACTCCTGACCTCATGATCCTCCCACCTTAGCCTCCTAAAGTGCTGGAATTACAGGCGTGAGCCACCGTGCCCGGCCAAAAATTATTTTTAATGGCAAAAACCACAATTACTTTTGCACCAGCCTGGTGTAAGAGTCCCTTTTCTCCACAGCCTTGACAGCTTTTTGTCATTTTGATAATAGTCATTCTAATTGGGGTGAGATGACACCTCATTTTTGTTTTGATTTGCATTTCCCTGGTGATTGGTGATGAGCATTTTTATTGGCCTTTGGTATAAGTGTTAGAGAAATGTCTATTCAGATCCTTTGCCCACTTTTGAATTGGATTATTTGTGATATTTTTGTTGTTGAGTTGTTTGAGGTCCTTGTATATTCTGGATATTAGTCCCTTTTTCAATGCATAGTTTGCAGATATTTTCTGCCATTTTATAGGTTGTCTCTTCACTCTGTTAAGTGTTTCCTTTGCTCTACAGAAGCAATTTGGTTCAATGCAGTCTCATTTGTTTTTGTTATTGTTGCCTGGGCTTTTGTGGTCTTACCCGTAAAATCTTTGCCTAGACCAGTGTCCTGAAGTGTTTCCCCTGTTTTCTTGTAGTATTATAGTTTCCAGACTCACAGTCATTATTTTGATTGATTTTTCTGTGTGGTGACAGATAACGGTTTAGTTTCATTCTTCACATGGATATCCACTTTTCTGATGAGGAATCATTGAAGAGGTGTCCTTTCCCCACTGTGTGTTCTTGATGCCTTTGTTGACAATCAGTTGCCTATAAATACATGAATTTAAGTTTTCTGTTCTGTTCCATTGGTCTATGTGTCTGTTTTTATACCAATACTATGCTTTTTTTGTTAGTATAACTTTGTAGAATATTTTGAAATTAGGTAGTGTGATGCCTACTTTAAAAATATTTTTTCAAAATATATTTAGGGGTTTTCTATAAAAAGCTTTGTTCTTTTTGCTCAGTATTGCTTTGACTATTTGGGGTCTTTTGTGTTTTCATATCAATTTTAGGATCATTTGTTCTATTTCTGTGGTATTTTGGTATTTTGATAAGGATTGCATTGAATCTTTAGACTGCTTTGGATAGTATTATCATTTGACAATATTAATTCTTGCAACTCATAAGCATAGTATGTCTTTCCATTTTTGTCCTCTTTGATTTCTTTTGTCAGTGTTTTATTGTTCTCACTGTAGAGGCCTTTCACTTCCTTGGTTAAATTTATTCCTAGGTATCTATTTTTCTTGGGTGGATAGCTATTGTAAATGGGATTACTTTCTTGATTTCTGTTTCAGGTAGTTCATTATTGTATAGAGACATTGATGATTTTTGCTTGTTGATTTTGTATCTTGCAGCTTTACTGAATTTATCAGTTCTAAGGGTATTTTGGTGGGGTCTTTCATTTTCTCCATATATAAGGTCATGTTGTCTGCAAAGGGAGGACAGTGTGATTTCTTCTTTTGCAATTTAAATGCCCTTTATTGCTTTTTAAACATTTTTATTGATATAGTTGTACATATTTATGGGGTACATGTGGTATTTTGATACCAGCATACAGTGTGTGATGCTCAAATATGGGTAACTGGGAGATCCATCTCCTCAAAAATTTATTTATGTTGGGAACATTCTAAAATTTCTCTTCTAGCTATTTTGAAATACACAGTAAATTATTAACTATAGTTGCCCTATTGTGCAACTGAACACAATAGGAAGATCTTATTCCTTCTATTGAACTGTAATCTTGCATGCATTAACCAACCCCTCTTCATCCCTCTCTACCTACTACTCTTTCCAGCCTCAAAACCACTATTGCATTCGCTATCTCTATGAAATCAGCTTCTTTTTACTTCCCATGTATGAGTGAGAAAATGAGATATTTTGTCTTGCCCTGTCTGGCTTATTTCACATAATGTAATGTCCTTAAGTTCTATCCATGTTGCTGCAAATGACAGGACTTTATTACTTTTTAGAGAAGAAAAATACTCAGTTGTCTATATATATTGCATTTTTTAAAACTCATTCATTGATTGACACTTAGGTTCATCCATGCCTTGGCTATTTTGAATAGTGCAGCAATAAACATGGGAGTGCAGATATCTCTTTGATATTCCGATTTCTTTCTTTTTTTTTTTTTTTGGATCTATACCCAGTGTCAGGATTGCTTGGTCATACAATAGTTGCATTTTAAGTTTCTTGAAGAACCTCCTTACTGTTCCCCATAGTGGTTGTACTAATTTACATTCTACCAACAGTGTGTGAGCGTTCCCCTTTCTCCACATTCTTGCCAGCATTTGTTATTTTCTTTCTTTTCCATAGTAGCCATTTTGACTGGGGAGATGGCTTCTCATTGTGGTTTTGATTTGCATTTCCCTGACCATTAATATTGTTGAACGTTTTTTAATATAGCTGTTGGCTATTTGTATGAATATTTTGGGAAATATTCTGACTTTTGCCTGTTCTTAATTGGATTATTTGGTTTTTGCTATTGAGTTTGAGTTCCTGTATATTCTGGTTATTAATCTCTCATCTAATGAATAATTTGCAAATTTTTTTTCAATTCTGTAGGTTGTTTCTTCACTTCATTGATTATTTTCTTTGCTGTGCAGAAGCTTTCTAGCTTGATAGAATCTCTTGTTTCTATATTTCCTTTGATTGCCTGTGCTTTTGAGGTCTTGCTCAATAAATAGTTGCCCAGCTTCATGTCCTGAAGTGTTTCTCCAATGTTTTCTTATAGTAGTTTCATGGTTTTAGGTCTTATATTTAAATATTTAAGCTGTTTTGATATAACTTTTGTATATAGTGAGAGAGAGGGGTCTAGTTTCTTTCTTTGGCATATGGCTATACAGATTTTCCTTTCTCAGTGTATGTTCTTGGTGACTTTCTTGGAAATCCATGGACTGTAAATATGTGGATTTGTTTCTAGGTTTTCTGTTCTCTTCCATTCCATCCATCTATGTGCCTATTTTTATGCTGTTTCCATGCTTGTTTTGGTTATTGTACTTTTATATAGCATTTTGAAGTCAGGTAATGTGATGCCTCCAGCTTCATTTTCTTTGTTCAGGATGCTTTTGTTGTTCCATACAAATTTCAGGATGGCTTTTTTCTTGTCATGTGCAGAATGTCATTAATATTTTGATACGGATTATGCTGAAAATATAGGTTGCTTTGAGTAGTATCGTTTTAACTATATTCTAATCTACATGGAATATCTTTCCAGTTTATTATGTTCTCTTCAATTTCTTTTATCAGTGCCTTATAGTTTTAATTGTAGAGAGCTCACTTCTTTTGTTAAGTTTAGTTCTAGGTGTTTATGCTATTTTATTGTAGCTGTTGCAAAAGGGATTCCTTTCTTTATT